CTCCTGGAGCTCCGGCTCCGTGCTCAGGTTCAGCAGCGCGTGGAGCGCGTGGATCCGCAAACTCGGCGGGCTCTCGTGGTTCCGGATCGTCGCCGTCAGCAACAACACCGCGTTCGCGTCGTCGAGGTGGAGCCGCCGGTGCGTCGACGTCGCCGAGAGCTTCGCGGCGCGGAAGGCGCCGACGCCCCGCAGGATGTAGTGGCGCGGGTGGGCCAACAGCTCGCAGCAGAGCAGCTCGAGCGCCGCGTCGCCGTCGGGCGACGCCGCGATCGCCGCGCGGCCCTCGTCCGTGTCGTGGAGCAGGAACAGCAGATCCACGGCGCAGATCTGGAGCGCGAGCTCGCCGCGGGACGCGCGCCGCACCTTGTCGTCCGGGACGCCGTCGTCGACGCAGTCCGCGGGGAAGCCGCGCCGCATCGTCTCGTAGACGTCCTCCGCGCCGGGCAGGTCCGCCGCGCCGCTCTCCGGGTTCGGCTCGTGGGCCGCGGCTAATAAACAGGCCACGAGCGGCTCGCCGTAGGCCGCGACCTGGTCGCAGAGGATGCCGTTCGCGCGCGCGACGAGGCACAGCGCGCCGCACGCGAGCGCGCGCGCGGGCGCGTGGCGCCGCCGGTCCGCGCGGTCCACGACCAGGCGCACGAGCGCGGGCACGGGCGACTTCTGCTCCTCGTAGTCCGCGCGGACCGCCGCGATGGACTCGACGTTGCGGTCGATCTTCGCGTTGAGGTCGCTGAGCGTCTGCGCGACGCGCGTCGCCTCCTCCTGCTTCGCGCGGAGCGCGCGCGTCGCCTCGTCGAAGATGGCCTCGCTGACGTTGCGCTGGAAGGCCGGGTTCGTCACGCGCGTCTCCAGGGAGAGGACCTCGGCCTCGAGCTTCGCGGCGGCCGCGCTCAGCCGCGCGATCTCCTTCGTCGCCGCGCCGCCCGTGCGCGACTTGACGTCGTTGTTGATGGACACGCCCATGGTCGCCGCGCCGACGGCGTCGCCGGCGAGCTGCCAGAGGGCCGCGGCGGCGGCTTCTTTCGTGTAGAGGGGCACGTCGGAGTTTAAAACTTGGGCCAGCGTCGCGGGCGCGCCGAGGTAGTTGAGCACCTTGCGGTCGTGGTCGCCGCGCGCGAGAGCCCAGATGCCCAGGCAGTCCCGGCGCAGGCCGTGGGACCGCGTCGCCGCCGCCGCTTCTTCTTCCCGCCGCTTCTCGCGGTCCTCGTCCGTGTCGACGGGCCGCAGCTGCCTCGCGCCCTGGCGCGCGAGCGGGCTCGGCTTCGAGACGACGACGGTCTCCTCGCGCTCGCGCTCGAAGCCCTCGGGCCGGTTCGCGCGCACCTCGACGCTCTCGTCGAGGACCTTCGTGCGGTTCGCGACGAGCGCGACGTGCGCCGCGAGCACGTCCGAGCTCCGCGGCGACCCGACGGCCGCGTGGAGCGCGACGTTGAACAGCGCCGCGGAGATGGCGTCGTCCAAAGCCGCGGAGCCGATCTCGAGGCCCAGCACGGCGACCAGACGCTTGTCGCCGTCGAGGGCCGACGACTGGAACGTCGCGAGCGATTGGGACGGCGCGGACGTCACGTGCGCGAGCGCCAAAGCGCACGCGGTCCGCACCTCCAGCGAGTAGGACGTCTCGACGCAGGCGCAGAGCTTGTCGACGGCGGCCCGCGGCGGCGCCGTCGCCGCGTCCAACGCCGGCCCCGCGCCGACCCAGGACGTCGCGACGGCGAGCGCGGCCGCGGCGCACTCCGCGGGGAACGACGCGTCGAGGTGGTCGAAGGTCGCCACGAGGAGCAGCGTCTCGGGCCACGTCGCGTCGATGGCGCCCCGGGCGTCGTCGACGCGCCCCGCCGCGGACGATCGCCGCCGCTGGCGCGGCCGCTCGCCGTCGGCGACGACCCAGGTCGCCACGGGCGGCGCGTAGAGGGCCGCGAGCGCGTCGGGCCCCCGCTCGCGGAGCAACGCCGTCACGGCCCAGAGGCCGAACAAGACCTGCTGGAGCAAGGGGATGACCGCGCGCGCGTCGAAGCTCCGCTCCTCGGCCTTTTCGGCCGCGTGCTCCCAGAGCTGCATCTGGCCGCCCCGCCGCGGCTTGAGCGCCGCGTCCGCCGGCGGGGCCTTCGTGGCGGCCGCGGCGACGGCCCGGGCCTCGCCGGCCTTCTTCAGCTCCGTCGCGCGGTGCGTCTTCGGCGTGATGACCGTGCCGCGCGCGCCGGGGTTCACGACGGAGTCGAGCGACTTCGAGTCGTCGTCGGCCTCCGAGTCGGAGCTGCCGCGCTCGCTGGGCTCCCGCGCCTGCTCCGCGCACCACGCCGCGAGCTTCGCCAATTTCGCGAACGCGACGGCCGCGAGGCCCGGGGGCACGCGGCGCCGGTGCCGCCTCTCGCGGAGCAGCGTCGCGACGGCCCCCGCGCCGAGCATGTTCAGGCGCGTCGTCGACGAGTCGAGGAGCGCCAGCAGGTCCTCGAAGGACGCGTCGCGCTTCAACAGGCACTCGCGCGCCTTCGACGACGACGCGAGCGCGACGTTCAGCACCGTCGCGGCCGTCGCGACGCGCTCCGTCGCGCCGTAGCCCGCGGACGCCGCGAGGAGCCAGGGCGTGCCGCTCTCGGCGACGACGCGCTTCGCCGCGTCGTCGCGCGCCGCCAGCGCGCCCAGCAACCCGACGACGTGGCGGCAGCCGCTCAGCGCGTGCTTCGTGCAGAAGAGCGCGGACTCGACGTCGAAGGCGGACGCGCGGCGGCCCTTCGTCGACGGCTCCTTGGCCACGTTCTCGAGCGTCTTCTGGCGCTGGACCTCGGACGAATAGAGCGATTCCACGAAGGCCTCGCGCTTCGCCGCGGTCCGCAGCGCGTTCGGCCGCTGTTTTTTCAAATCCTCGCGGCGGAGCGCCTCCTGCTGGAGCAGCGCGACGCAGAGCGCCGGCGCGCGGCCCCGCAGGAGCTGGGAGCAGAGCTCCTTGGACCGGTCGGCCATCTTCCAGCCCGCGGCGGCCGCGGCCGACGCGACCTCGTCCGCGTAGTCGTGCGCCGCGAGGCCCCGGAGCACGGCCTGCACCGCGTCCGGCGTCGCGACGACGCCGCCGAGGTTCGCCCGCTGGTCCAGCAGCTCGTAGAGCTGCTCGAAGCCCGCGATGCGCTGCCGCGCGCGCGCGCCCTCGGACGCGGCTCCGGCCTTGGAGCCGCGGCCGTCGGCGAGCGTCGCGGCCCGCGTCGCGAGCTCGATGACCTTGGCCGTCCGCCGCGCGGCGGCGCCGGAGCGCCACTGCTTGAGGTGCGCCTGCCAGGCGTCCTCGTCCGTCACGGACGTGGCGCGGGCCTCGTCCGCGAAGACGTCGCACGCGCGCGCGAAGCCGAACGCCTCCGCGGCGATGTCCGTGACCGTCTCCACGACGACGTTCGGGGGCAGCGCGGCGCTGTGCGGCGTCGACAGGCCGCCGTCGTCGCCGTGGTTGACGATGAGGATCACCTGGCTGCCCGCGGCGGCGCCGGGGCTCACGTCCCAGAGCTTCTTCTTCTGCGACGCCGTGCCCTCGACGGCGTGGTCCCGCACGGCGGAGCGGATCTTCGCGAAGCGGCTCTTCGCCGTGCCTTTGCCCAGCAAGGCGTCCATCGTCGCCTGCCTTTGCTCCTGTCTTTGGCTACGGCCGCCGCCGCGGCGCACCAGACCTCTCAGGGAGAGCGCATGTTGCAAGGGGGCGCTAGCAAGAGGGCTGGTCGTGCCTTTGATACTGCTGCAACACCGGCTCGGCGCTCCGCTCCACCTGGCTCGAGCCGAAGCCAGTCGCATCGCGGTACTCGCCGGCAGTCAATCAAAACCGTAGCGCCCTGCGTACCGAACCCACTTCACTACTACTCCGGGGCGGTGGCGCGACGGCGGGGCCCTCCCGCGCCTCGGCGGCGGTCCAGCCGGTCCGCGCGCCGAGTTTTTCGACGAGTTGCCTCATGATTTCGCCCCCTGAACGTTCTTGGCGCCGGCGGCCCCGCGGGCGCCGCTGCACGCCGGCCGACGACGCGCCGCGGCCCCGGCGGTGCGCCCGCGCGCGGCGGCCCTCGCGCGCGCGCCCCCGCCCCCCCGCCCTCGCCCCGCGCGCGCGCGGCCGGCCCGCGCGGGCCGCCGCGCGCGTCTCTCCCGAATTCGGTGGCGCGCGGCTCGTTGCCCTGGGCGTGCTCCGCCGCCTAGCGTCGTGGGACACCGCATCATGGAAACGGCCGCCGCCGGCCCGGTATGTGACGCGCGGTTTGTTCGAGCGCGCGCGTTTTTCGCAGTTACGTTGACCATGGCCGACGAAGCGGACAAGGAGATCGCGGACGACGACCTCGTCGACTACGACGACGACGACGTCGAGGAGCAGGGGGGCGACGAGGCCAAGGAGGCGAAGAAGGGCCACTACGTCGGCATCCACGCGTCGGGCTTCCGCGACTTCATCCTCAAGCCCGAGTGCCTCCGCGCGGTCGTCGACTGCGGCTTCGAGCACCCGTCCGAGGTGCAGCACGAGTGCATCCCCCAGGCCGTGCTCGGCATGGACATCATCTGCCAGGCCAAGAGCGGCATGGGCAAGACGGCCGTCTTCGTCCTCGCGACGCTCCACCAGCTCGAGCCCGTCGACGGCGAGATCTCCGTGCTCGCGCGTCCGCGGCGTTTGGACTGGGCGCGTCGCCGAAACCTCACGCTTGTCTCGTCCCTAGGTCATGTGCCACACGCGCGAGCTCGCGTTCCAGATCAAGAACGAGTACGCGCGGTTCTCGAAATACCTGCCGGCCGTCAAGGTCGAGGTCTTCTACGGCGGCGTGCCCATCAGGGCAGCACAAGAATGATTCAACGTCGCTTCAACGTGAGTGTTCCGCGCGCGCGCGTTTCGAAAACAGCACCCACGCTTCGAGAGCGCTCCGAGAGATGATCGCTCGTCCAAAAATCAGCCGAAACGAGCGGAAAACGACCGAGATAGGAGCCTTTGAAGTTGGGAATTTCGCACCCTTTTGCTGCCCAGGTGCCGATCACGCAGAACAAGGCGGCGCTCAAGGCGAACACGCCCCACATCGTCGTCGGCACGCCCGGCCGCATCCTGGGGCTCGTCAAGTCCAAGGATCTCGTGCTCGGCAAGCTCAAGCACTTTGTGATGGACGAGTGCGACCGCATGCTCGAGGCGCTCGACATGCGCAAGGACATCCAGGAGATCTTCCGCACGACGCCCCACCAGAAGCAGGTCATGATGTTCAGCGCGACGCTCTCCAAGGAGATCCGGCCCGTGTGCAAGAAGTTCTGCCAGGACCCCATGGAGATCTACGTCGACGACGACACGAAGCTCACGCTCCACGGCCTCCAGCAGTACTACGTCAAGCTCCAGGAGGCGGAGAAGAACCGCAAGCTCAACGACTTGTTGGATGCCCTCGACTTCAACCAGGTCGTCATCTTCGTGTCCAAGGTCGCGCGCGCGACGGAGCTCGACCGCCTCCTCTGCGAGTGCAACTTCCCCTCCGTGTGCATCCACAGCGGCATGACCCAGGAGGAGCGCATCACGCGCTACAAGGACTTCAAGGACTTCAAGAAGCGCATCCTCGTGTCCACGGACCTCTTCGGCCGCGGCATCGACATCGAGCGCGTCAACATCGTCATCAACTACGACTTCCCCGAGGTCAAGGAGGGCGCCGCGCAGACGACGGCGAGCGACCAGTACCTCCACCGCGTCGGCCGCGCCGGCCGCTTCGGCACCAAGGGCCTCTCCATCTCCTTCATCTCCTCCAAGGAGGACGCGGAGATCCTCGCGGCCGTCCAGAGCCGCTTCGAGGTCAACGTCTCCGAGCTGCCGGACCAGATCGACATCTCCTCCTACATGTCCTAGGCCCGAACGCCCCCCCCGCCCAAGGCCCTCCCCCGGCGCGCCACCCCGCGCGCCCCGCTCTCCGCGTAACACGACGGCTCCCTTCGAAGCTCCTTCGGCGCAGGCCGAGGCCTAGGGCGACGCTCGCCAGGAGCCTGTTCCTTGAAAGATCGAATCTTGAGGAGTGAAAATCGAAAAACTGGGACGAAGCACGCTCGCTCGCCCCCGCGCGCCGCCCGCCTCGTGAAAGCGTCCGCGCGCCGCCCGCCTCGCTGCGTCCGGGCGCCGCCCGCCTCGTGAAAGCGTCCGGGCGACGCCCCTCCCCGTACGAGAAGCATGTTTCCCCCCCTGATGGCGGCCCTCCATCATGCGGCGGAAAAAAACGAGGGCGACGGCGAGGGTAACCACGACGGCTCGTCGCCGCGAAACCACGACGTCAAGCACGAGGAGAGCGGCATCGGCATGACCGAGGACTTCGAAAGCATCTTCGGCGAAGCGACGGACGCCGAGGCCGGCCGGCACGCGCGCGCCCTCATGTGGTCCGTGCGCCGCCGCCTCCAGCGCGACGACGCCATGCTCCTCGGCTACCGCACCTTCGCGCGCTTCCTCGGCTACGTGGTCCTGTTCATCCTCGTCGTCTACTTCCAGCTCCAGAGCCTCCGGTCCGAGAACCGGGTCCAGTACGGCGCGGTGCGGTCCACGGTCTTCGGCCTCGACCTCAACGTCACCACGGACGGCTCCGTCGAGGTGTCTTCGCACCTCAAGTCCTACGACGTCCTCTCGGACTGGGTCGGGGAGTCCGTCATCCCGCGCGTCTGGACCCTGCCGTCGTGCGGCGACGCCCAGTGCACGGAGGAGCTCCCGGGCTTCGACGCCGGCGAGGGCACGCGCGCGACGTTCTTCCAGCCGCAGTGCCCGGCGGACTGCGGCGTCGTCGAGACCGCGCGCGCGTCCGTGTCGTTCTTCGACGTCGGCAAGCTCGCGCACGCGTTCGCCATGGTCGAGGACGTCGCGGGCGCGGCGCCCGTCGCGGGCTGGAACGTCTGCCACGCGAGCGACCGGGAGGCGGGCACGCCCGAGTTCGTCTGCGTCTTCGACGGCGACGCGTTCATCGAGGGCCGGCCCTACCGCACCGCGGAGCTCGACCCGCGCGACGCGCGCTTCGGCGGGACGAAGAACCTGACGCTCTACGGCGGCGACTGGGAGCTCCGCTACGCCTTCGCCGGCTTCGACGCCGGCGGCGCCGACGCGACGGGCTTCCCGGCGATCCGCGGCGAGGTCTGCGTCGCGGACCCGGACGACAACGTCACCACCTGCGAGCGCTGGGACCCGTGCCCGGCCGCGGCCGAGTGCGTCTGCGAGTACGTCGACGAGGTCTACCGCTGCTTCGGCGACGACCACTGGGCGGGCTTCGACGCGCGGTCGATGACGCACGCCGACGACGCGCTCGACCCGTACCTCGCCGCGTTCCCGCGGTCCCTCGGGCTGGGCGCCGTCGCGGACTGGTGGCGCGTGCCCCGCGCGCCCGTCGACGGCGACGACGGCGTCTGGGGCGACCGCGGGCCGCCGGCGGGCTACGCCGTCGCCCACGTCGAGGACTGGGACGCGCGCGCGTTCCCGCACGTCATCGTGCTGCTCTCGTCGCACTCGAGCAGGAAGTGGGAGTCGACGACGCTCGAGATCCGGGACGCCGCGGGCCGCGTCGTGTGGACGTCCGCGGACGTCGGCGCCGCGGCCGCGCGCGACGCGGCCGCCGCGGCCGAGGCGGCGTCGCGGACCGAGCACGCGGCGGCGCTCAACGCCGCGACGGCGGCCCAGGCCACGGACTGGTGCCAGTCCTACGTCGCCATGCTGCCGCGCGGCGAGCCCCTCGAGGTCGCGCTCTCGCGGTCCGACGGCGGCGCCGGCGCCGTCGACGCCTGGGTCTCCTGGGAGCTCTGGGTCGGCGGCCCGGGATCCCGCTGGGACTCCGCGCTCCTCGCGCGCGGCGCCGGCGGCGCCGGCGCGTGCGCCGTCTCGGAGGCCGACGTCTGCGAGGCGCCCGCCGCGGACGGCGACGTCGCCCTCGCCCGCTGCACGGCGACGACGGACGGCACGTGCCCCGACGCCGATGCGGCCTGTACCGTCTGCACGAACGAGGGCGGCACGACGTGCAGGGACTGCCAGATCGATCGCGGCGACGTGTTCCCCGTCGAGGACGTCTACGCCTGCGCGGCGACGGCGTCCGCGCCGCCGTCGGCCGCGGCCTCCGCGGCGCCGCCGCCCGCGCGCCGCCGCGCCGAGGCGCGCCTCGCGGAGGGCTTCGCCGCGCCGCCGCCCGCGCGCCGCCGCGCGAGCCGGGGGACGTCCGGCGGCCCCCCCGGGGCCGCCGCGTCCGCGGCCTCGCGGCGCCTCGCGGACGGCTTCGCCTCGGCCGTCCGCTGCGACTTCGACGAGGACCTCTGCGGCTGGGAGGCGACGGAGCCCCCGGACCACGAGGGCGAGACAGCGAAAGGCGCGTGGTACCGCTACGTCGGGCCGACGGCGACGACGCAGACGGGCCCCAAGGAGGCCGACGACGCGTCCGACGCGGCCGACCCCTACGCCTACATCCACCCGGGGAGCCCGGCCCCGTACACGGCCTTCCTCACGTCGCCGGCCTTCGAGCCCGCCGACGGAGGGGAAGAGCTCGCGTTCGCGTACCACGCGTACGGCGACCGCATCGGGTCCCTCGACGTCGAGGCGCTCGTCGGCGGCACCTGGGTCTCGACGTGGCGCGTCGAGCACGACCAGGGCGGCTCGTGGCACGACGCGGCGGTGCCGGTGCCCGCGGGCGCGACGCGCGTCCGCTTCGTCGGGTTCACGAACAGCGCGTTGGGCGACATCGCCGTCGACGCGGTGCGCGCGGCCGGCGAGACCGGCGGCGTCGCGCCGGGCGGCGGCGGCGGCATGCGCTGCTACGGGGGCTGGAAGATGGCCGTGCCGGGGGGCGCGAGCCCGGGCGCCGCGACGGTCGACCCGTGGCTCCGCGACGCCGGCGACCGCGAGGTCGTCGAGTGCGACGCCGGCGAGACGCACTGCGTCGCCTTCGAGTACATCTGGCCCTGGCGCGGCGGATTCTACGGCGCCGCGGACGTCCCCGCGGTCGCCTCCGCGCAGCCCTACTTCGAGATAGGGGCTCTCGAGAGCGCCGTCGGCGCGTTCAAGGTCACGCCGGCGGCGGCCGACGGCGGCATGCCCGCGCTGCACTACGTCGGCCGCGGCGGCTGCTGGAGCGGCTTCGCGGAGGCGTTCAAAGTCGAGATCCAGCCCTACGAGGCCCACCCGAATCTGTGGCCGGACGGGAACGCGTCCGCGCCGCAGCCCGACGCCGTGCCGGGCCCGCTGTCGCCGCGGACCTGCGGGATGCTCAAGATGTCGACCCTCCCGACCTTCACGCAGCTGTCCGAATGCTTCGCCTGCGAGGGCGACCTCTGCAACGCGCGCGGCGCCGGCGACCCGGCCTGGTACGAGAACGCGTTCGGCGTCTCGGCCCACGCGCTCCTCGACTCCATGGACTTTGTCTACGAGGACGAGCGGGAAGTGGAGGGGGAGACGATTTCCATGATCTTCAAGCCCGTCCGGCGCCGGAGCGCGACGGCCCTCGCCTGCGGAGCGCGCCCGCAGCGCGCCGACGGCGTGTGCGACCTGGACCGGCACACGCTGGGGTGCGGGTACGACTACGACTGCTGCGACTCCCGATACGCAGCCTGCGAGATGCCCTGGTACCTGCTCGACGCCGCGGCGGCGGCCGCCGCCGCGGGCGACGCCGCGCCGGCGAAGGCCGCGGCGGCGAGCTGGAGGTACGCCGCGCTCGGCACCTACGCGACGGTGCCCTTCGCGCTCTACGAAGCCGTGCGCGACCGGCTCTTCGTCGAGTGGGCCGCCGCGTCGGCGGAGCCCGACGCGCTCCTCCTCCAGGGGAATCTCGACGGCGCCGCGGGGTCGCCGCTCGCGGACCTCGACGAGGCGACGCTGCGGCGCGGCTTCGACGCCGTCGCCGGCGGCCTCGTGCCGTCGCTCGCGTGCCCCGAGTGCGCGAGCTACGACGGGCGGTACCGCGCCGTGCCCTTCGCCGTGAACGTCACGGCGTCGAACCGCGCGTCGCCCGACGCCGACAAGGACGAGACCTACATGTTCGCCGACGTCCACCCGGACGAGGGCGAGCCGCGGCGGTTCCTCTCGCCGCCGAACCTCGTCCTCTACGGCCTCCTCGTGACGCAGCGGCGCTCGGACGGGATGACGTGCCGCCGCGAGGGCCCCTACGCCAAGAAGCGGCACCCGGTGTATAGCCCGGAGCCGGACCCGAAGTTCTGCTCGACGAAGGACGGGAAGCACAACGGGAAGAGCCGCGCGTCCTTCGGCGTCGACGTCTGCTTCGTCGCGGGCACGCCCGAGTACCGCGACTGGTACGTCGCCTCGGACTACTACGGCCCGGAGGACCTCGACGAGGAGGGCGTGCCGTGGGCGTTCTCGTACGACATGGGCGAGTCGGGCGTCGAGGACTTCGCCGTACTCATCCCCACGACGGCGAACCAGAGCCGCGCGCTCGACCTCTGGGAGCGCCTCGCCTACGGCGACTACTTGGACCACCGCACGGACAAGGTCAAGATCTCCTTCATGACCGTGAACCTCGAGACGGGCCTCATGACGCTCGTGGAGATCGAGGCGTCGACGGATCGCGAGGGCGGCGTCGCCCTCGCGGACAGCGTGACCCTCGTCAACCCCACGCCCTACGACTGGGCCTCGCCGTTCACCGTGTTCCGCCTCCTGCTCGAGGCGCTGTTCCTCGCGTACCTCGCCGGGCTCATCGTCGTCGAGGCCTGGGAGTGCCTCGACGTCTACCGGCGCACGGGCTCCGTGGCCGGCTACTTCTTCGACGTCTTCAATGTCCTCGACCTCGTCGGCTACGGCACCGTGCTCACGAACGTCAAGCAGCACGTGGACTACGTTTTCGCGTGCACGGCGTTCGCGCCCGAGATGGCCTACGCGACGGCGGCGGACCCGGAGGCGGTCGTGGCCAGCCTCCGGGCGGGGCCGGGCCTCGCGGAGGCCCAGCGCCAGTTCGCCCGCGTCAGGAATCTCGCGACGATGAAGTCCGACTTCGTCACGCTCGTCTGCTGCACGCTCATCATCATGTCGTTGCAGCTCATCAAGACGCTCGACTTCCACCCGCGCGTCGGCATCATCTCGCGGACGCTGATCCGGAGCCGCTGGGACCTGCTCTACTTCATCCTCATCTTCTCCCTCCTCCTCTTCCTCTACGCCTTCATCGGCTTCTTCCTCCACAGCGACAACGACGAGAACTTCGCGAACGTCCCCACCGCGGCCATCATGCTGCTCAAGATGACCGCGGGCCTCTACGACGACGAGAGCGAGCGGTCGGTGCAGAACGTGCTCTACTACTGGGTCTGGATGATCATCTCCTTCTTCCTCATGCTCAACTTCCTCCTCGCCATCATCGTCGACAACTACAACGTCGTCGCCGACGTCGCGACCGAGGACAAGAACGACCCGCTCTTCTTCACGCTCCGGGTCGCGCGGCGGCGGTGCGCCGCGCGGCTTCGGCGGCTCCGCGGCGAGCCGCCGCCGCCGGGCGACTGCGTCGTCCCCGTGGGCGCGCTCGTCCGCGTCGTCGGCGCCTTCCTCGAGGGCACGGAGTGCACCGACGAAGTCGACGAGGCGTTCTCGCTGATCTTCGCGGCCAGCGACGATTTCGACGCGATGCGGCTCAAGACGGAGCGGAGGGACGACGCGGTGTTCCGCCGCCTCCCAGCCGCGACGACGGACATGCAGACCGAGCTCAAGCGGCTCGAGGACTGCTGCGTCGCCGGCGCGACCGTCGCGTCCGCCCGCAGCGGCGGGATCTACGGCTACCTCGACCGGGCCGTCTCCGAGGACGGCCGCTGGCTCGCGTTCGACCAGAGCCTGCTCGAGTGCGTCGTCCGCGTCTGCGAGCGCGACGCCCTGGCCAGCGACTCGAGGACGCAGCACGCGGCGCCGCCCCGCGCTGTTTCCCGGGACTCGTTGTGGTCCAGTCCGAGCGGGCGACGCCTCGGGACCCGGTCGAGCCTGGGGCGGCCCTCGCTGTGGACCCGGCCGACGGGGCCGGCGCGCAAGCTCGAGCTCCGGAGGCTGGCGGCGGCGGTCGCCTACAACGTCCTCGAGCGCTACGGCACGGGCGCGGACCTCTCCGGCGACGGCGTCTGCACCAAGAAGGAGGAGTCCGCGATCCTGCGGCTCATCCGGCTCTCCGAGGCGTTCCCCGACGGGCAGGGCGCGGCCGGCGACCGGATCGGCCTCGTCGCCGCGTGGCACTACTTCACGGGCGACTCCGACGCCCTCCCCGACAAGGCCCTCGAGCTCCTCGAGCGGTGCGCGACGACCGGCGTCGGCGTCCCCGAGACGGCGACGGCCGCGGAGCTCGGCCTCGTGTCGGCACTCGTGCCGCGGCTAGTGCCGCGGCCGCCGTCGTCCCGCGAGCTCGACGGCCTCGCCGACGAAGACGACGGCGCGGACGACGGGGAGGCGTAGCTCCGATCCAAGATTAAGGAGACCGACGGCCTCGCCGACGAAGACGACGGCGCGGACGACGGGGAGGCGTAGCTCCTATCCAAGACTAACGACCGCGTAAAGGCAAAAAAAACAACGGCAACGACTTTGCGTGAAGTTCGCAGCTCCAACCGTTCATGCCAACAAATCGTGCGCAAGGACCTGGGTCTGAGTGCTCCGCGGGAGCACACGCGCGCGGGACCGCCGGGAGCGCAGCCGACAGCGCGCGCGCGCCCACCGGGAGCACACCGCGACGCCGCCACACACGCCAAAACCCAAAACCTTCGAGAGACCATGAGCTACAGCGACGACGAAGAGGACGTCTACGAATATTCCGAGGACGAGGAGGACGCCGACGACGGTGCGCCCCCCGCCCTTCTTTGACCCGCCCGCCTCACCCCCGCCCGCGCGCAGGCATCGTCGAGGAGCCCGCGCGGACCCGCGCGCGGTCCGAGAGCTTCGCGTCCGGCGGCCGCGGCCGGGCGAACTCGCAGCGGCTCGGCGACGGCGTCTACTCGCTCGTCGAGGGCTCCGAGGTCGCGGGCATGCTCGACGTCAAGGCCGCGGAGGCGGCGGAGCTCCTGGGCGTGCCCGTGGCCCAGGCCGAGGCGCTGCTCCGGCACGCGGGGTGGAACTCGGAGCGGCTCATGGAGGGCTTCTGGGGAGACGGCGAGCGGCTGAGCCGCGCGGCGGGCGTCGAGGCCTGGGGGAGCGAGGCGGCGCCCGTCGGCCGCGGCGAGATCACGTGCCGCATCTGCTTCGCCGACTGCGCCCCCGGGGAGACGCTCGCGGCGCCGTGCGGCCACCGGTTCTGCGGCGACTGCTACGGCGGCTACGCGTGCAACAAGGTCGACGAGGGCCCGGGCTGCGTGGGCATGGCCTGCCCCGAGGCCGGGTGCGCCTGCGTCGTGCCCCCGGACGTCCTCGACACATGCCTCGACGCGCCGCGGCGCGCCAAGCTCGCGCGGTTCCGCGTCGAGAACTACGTGTCGTTCACCAAGGAGCTCCGGTGGTGCCCCGGCGCGGGCTGCACCAAGGTCGCCCGCGCGGGCCCCTGCGTCGGCGCCGTCAAGTGCGCGCCCAACGGCTGCGGCGCGAACTTCTGCTTCCGCTGCGGCGAGGAGGCGCACGCGCCGTGCGACTGCGCGCTCGTCGCGCGGTGGGTCGAGAAGTGCCAGAACGAGTCCGAGACCGCGAACTGGATCCTGGCCAACACGAAGCGCTGCCCCAAGTGCCAGACGCGCATCGAGAAGAACCAGGGCTGCAACCACATGAACTGCTCCCAGTGCAAGTACGAGTTCTGCTGGATGTGCATGGGCGACTGGTCCGACCACGGCGCGACGACGGGCGGCTACTACAAGTGCAACAAGTACGACCCGGCCAAGGCCGACGCCGACGACGGCGACGACCAGGCGCGCGCGAAGCGCGAGCTCGACCGCTACCTCCACTACTACAAACGCTACCACGGCCACGACCAGGCCATGGCCTTCGCGACGAAGCAGCTCGAGGCCACCGAGCGCCGCATGGTCGAGCTCCAGGAGTCGACCCAGGGCTCCTGGATCGACGTCCAGTTCCTCAAGGCCGCCAACGAGATGGTCATCGAGTGCCGCCGCGTGCTCAAGAACACGTACGTCTTCGGCTACTACCTCCCGACGGACGCCGCGAAGCAGCGCGAGCTCTTCGAGAACCTCCAGGAGCACCTCGAGAAGTTCACCGAGACGCTCTCCGAGATGACCGAGCTCCCCATCGACCAGATGGACCGCACGGAGATCGTCAACGTCACGCGCGTCACCGAGTCCTTCCTCGCGAACCTCATCCAGGGCGCCGAGGCCGGCCTCGACATGTCCGCCGCGTGAGCGCGGGCCCCTTGTCCACAGCGCGCGCGCCCGACCGGCCGCGCCGCCCCGCCACTCCCCCCGTGTAGCATAGACAAATTCTTCACCATCGGCCCTCTTGCAGTTACGGCTGGCTGAGTCATCTCGATTCAGGGGCTGCCTCAGAGCGCATGGCGGCCCGACTGCTGCGACGTCTCGATTCACATCGAGGGCCTCGGAGCATGGCCCGACTGCTGAATGCGTTGCTGCTGCTGGCGTCCGCAAATGGCGCGCCGCACCGGGTGCGTCGCGAGCTCCCGCCGTCGGGCGGTCCGACGCCGCGGCCGCCGACGCCGCGGCCGACGCCGCGGCCGACGCCGCGCCCCGTCGCCGCGCCGGACCCGACGGCGGCGCCGACCAAGGCCTTCGTGGAGTTGGACTGGGTCGACCAGTGGTCGTCGGACGACAAGGCGGCCTTTTACGATCCCGCGCTGGCGGTCAAGGTCGTCTGGAGCGGGACGCACAACGTCCACGAGCTGGCCTCCGCCGAAGCGTGGGACGAGTGCGACTTCACCGGAGCCGCGGAGCTCGGCGGCAGCTCCGGCGTGGAACTCACGGGCAGCGAGGGCGACGTCAAGTACTACGCCTGCGCCGTCGGCAGCCACTGCGCCACCGGCCAGAAGATCGCCATCACCTGGAGCGAGCACGGCTTCCTCCCGTCGTACGCGCCGACGTCGGAGCCGACGCCGGAGCCGACGCCGACGCCGACCCTCGAGCCGACAAAACGGCCCGCGCCGTCGCCGTCGTCTCGCCCGAGCGCCTTCCCGGGCGATCCGACGGCCGCGCCGGCGCCTTCGCCGACGCCGCGGCCCGCGCCGCGGCCGACGGCGCCGTCGCCGTCGTCGCGGCCGAGCGCCTTCCCGGGCGATCCGACGGCCGCGCCGGTCCGCCCGCCCACGCCGCGGCCGTACCCCCGGCCGACGGCGCCGGCGCCGACCGCGGGCCCGACGCCGGCCTGCGAGCGCATCGTCGAAACCGCCACCGCGGACCTGCTCAAGGCCGAGTACGAGTCCGTCGAGGACGCCTACGACAAGGACGCGCACGGCCACGCCACCTACGACTGCGCCGCGGAGCTCGTCGACGTGCACGCGCAGTACGACAAGGCCGAGCCCTACTTGTGGTGCGTCGTCGCCCACTGCGAGGAGTGCGACGGAACTGCGGGCGCGGCCTGCCCGACGGCGTCCGTGGGGCTATACGAGCGCGACGAGTGCGAGTCCGCCGTGTTCAACTACCTCGGCTTCGCGAGCCGGAAGAAGGACGAGCCCGACTTCGAGAGCGCCGAGGAGTAGTACCGCGAGGCGCTCGAGCTGTGGCCGGAGAATTGCGACGACCAGCGTCCTGCGGCCGCGACGATTTTCGAGAGCTTTCGACCACACAAGAAACATCGTCGCCGACGCCGCTCGCAGGCGGCGCGCTCTCGTACTTGACGGAGCTCTACGCGACGACGGGCGACGACGAGGCGACGCAGGCCGCCTACGCGTCGCTCTGCGAGACCTGCGGGGAGGGCCACGACGCGACGCTCTACCACTACGACCGGCTCGGCTCCTGCGCCGCGGGCTCCGAGTGCGCGGACTCGACGAGCTGGTGAGGTCCGGCGAAGTTTTACGTTGTTTTCATGCGTTTCTTTAGGCACTACAAGAAGAGCAAGAACACCTGCGAGAAGTACGCGTCGAAGAAGGCGCGGAACTGCAAGAAGAAGGACGAATTCGGGGTCAAGGGAAAGCACGCGCGCGTTCTCGGCGTCCGCGCCGCCGTCGGCCCCGACGCGCGCGCGCAGGTGCCCCGCGACGTGCGGCGAGTGCGCCGTCTGCGAGGACTCCGCGAGTTGGTTCTTCAAGAAGAGCAAGAACACGTGCGAGGCCTACGTGTCCAAGAAGAGCAAGAACTGCAAGAAGAGGGACGCGTCGGGCGCGAAGGCGAAGAACGCCTGTCCGATGACCTGCGGCGCGTGCTAATGCTTGTTACTTTGGCGAGTGGAGCGTCGCGGCCTGGTCCGGCGCGGCCCAGCCCGACTGCTGGTAGGCCGCGTCCGCGGGCACCGTGGGCTTCTGGAGCGCGAGCTCCGCGGCCGTGGTGATGCGCTGGACGAAGGACTCGGCCGCGGACACGGTCGGCGCCTCGAAGCGGAAGGCGACCTTGCCGCTCGGCGCCGTGACGTCGGCGATCTCGAGCTCGAAGCGGTGCGGCGTCTCCGCGAGGGGCTTCGCGGAGAGGAGCCGGCCGAGCGCCAGCGGGCTCTTGACCATGGACAGGTTCGGCCGCGAGTAGCTGTAGAGGCGGAGCTCGTCGCGCTCGATGGCGCCGTAGCAGTGGGCCCACTTGCCCGCGAAGGTCTCGCCGCCCTGCTTGACGATCATGCAGAACCGCAGGTCCCCGAGGAGGATGAGCACGTCGTCGCGCGACGCCCGCAGCTCGAGCGCGAGCGCCGGGAAGCGCTTCGACGTGTCCGCGTCGGCGAGGTCCGCGACGAGGGTGTGCCAGAGGTGGGCGTCGCGCTCGGGCTCGACGCTCAAAGGCGGCTTCGTCGTGTCCTCGAAGAGGAGCTCGAGCGCCGCCGGGTTCGACCGCAGCGAGGGCCGCGCGCCGTCGAGCTCGACGCGCCCCGCCGGCGCGGCCTCGTCGCCCTCCGGCTCCTCGTCGAAGTAGTAGAGCCGGCGCCGGCCCTCGGCGAGCACGCCGAAGACGCGGCGCCCGCCGAGCGCGACCCAGCCGCGCGTCGTCTCGTCGCGCGGCAGCCGCGCGGGCCGCCGCGGCACCCGCGGCGGCTCGCCCGCGCCGCCCGCGCCCGGCGGCGGCGGCGGCTCGTCGTGGGGCGCCAGCGCGTCCGCGCCGCCGCCGTCGTCGCCGCCGACCATGGGGCCGTAGGGGCTCGTCGCCTCGAGGGTCTCGGCGCGCGGCGCGTCGCGGACGCCGATGGGCGTCGGCGCGCGCGCGGCGGAGATGGCCTCGGTCCAGGCGTCGCGGTCCCCGGCCGACGCGAGCCGCAGCGCGACGACGTCGTTGGGGTCGCCGTTGAGCTCCACGAGCACCTCCCACGTGCCCTCGTCGTCGTCAGACCGCGTCACGAGCGTCGACACCGCGGCCAGGTTGATCGCGCGGTCCTGCCGCGGCGCCAGGCGCCGGCCCGGCGCGGGCCGCGTCGCGACGAGCTCCGCCCGCGTCAGCTCCGCGTAGCGGTAGCGGCCGTCCACGAAGGCCCAGCCCTCGCAGATCACGTGCGACTTGCCGACGTCGCGGAGCAGGCGCAGCGTGCAGGGGAACGCCGCCGCCGCCAGCGCCTCGAGCGCCGCGTCGTAACCTTCAAAACACTCGTCGTTGACGCCCACGAGCACGTCGCCCGCGCGGACGCCGCCGCGCCGGTTCTCGGCCGCGCCGGCGCACTCGAGCACGACGGCGAAGCCGTGCTCCCAGCCGTTCTCCTCCGCGCCGACGGCCCGCGCGAGCCGCAGCGACAGATCGCAGGGCCGCTCGTAGCGGTCGTCCAGCGGCTTCCAGCAGGCGACGTGCTGGTTCGACGCCAGCGCGTCCGCGGTCTCGAGCTCCGCGATGCGGCTGCAGATCGCGAGCGCCCACCTCGCGAGCTCCGCGCGCGTGTCCGCGCCGACGGTGAAGACGCGGTCCGCCGCTACTAAGTCCAGGGCGTGGCTCGGCGCGTCCTCGACGCGGCTCAGGCGCACGTCCTCGACATCCCTCAAATTCACGGCGCCGAGGCGCGCCTTGTCCGTGAGGCCCCGGTAGTAGGACAGCTCGTTCTTTTCGAGCCGGAAGTAGCGCCGGTGGAAGCCGCCGCGGCTCGCCATGCCGATGACGGACGCGAGCACGCCGGCGTTGGACGCCTGCTCCTTGGAGCCGCGGCGCTGGCTGCCGACGACCGCGTCGTCGCGTTCGTAGTGGCTCCGGCTCTGCTCGTGGCGCTTGAAGTCGGGCTTGACGAGGAAGCCGTGGGGCTCGCGGAGCCAGGGGTCCTCGGGCGGCAGGCCGCACTCGCGCATGAGCGTGTCCAGGCCCCCGCCCCTAGTCCGGCTCATCGTACTCCGCCCGCCGCCCACGGGCGGGCTCTCGCCCGTGACAGGCAGCGACTCCTCGAGGAGGCCCGCCGACGAGCCGCGCTGCCGCGCGTCGTGGTGCCCGTCGTAGGGGTCCCGGAACGTCTGGTCCTGGTCCGGCGGCAGCATGGCGCGCGCGCGTCGGCGGCCGCCCGCGCGGCAGCCCCAGTCGCTTCCTCTGTGCGAGGACTGCTCCTCATCTGCTACTTGGGTTCAACTTTGCCCTGGACCGCCTGAGACGAGGTGGAGCAGGTTCCTGCTCGTGCTTCGTCGTGTTGTACGCCCCAGAGCACGTCGTTGTGACCCAACGCGCACGCGCTCAAAGTTGTCGCCATCGACGCCAAGCGCCCTACAAACGATGCCTTCGAAACAAGACTTGCGCACGTGGTGCCGGTTGAAGTATGGTAATGACTGGCACGCGACGAATAAGGCTGAGCGTTTAGCTGAGGCGCGCGCGAAGCTGTCGGAGCCGGGCCCCGAGGAACGAGACGCTGAGGCGTCTACACCCGTCGAGGCCGCTCCGCCGCCCGCCGAGGTCGCCGCTCCGCCGCCCGCCGAGGCCGCCGCGCCCGCGCCCGCCGCGCCCGCCGAACCCGTCAAGGCCGCCGCCGCGAAGCCGTCCGCGTCCGTGTCCGCTCAGGAGGCGCGCACGTGGTGCCGGCAGAAGTACGGCAAGACCTGGTTCGAGACGGAGAAGACGGCCCGGCTGCAGGAAGCGCGCGCCGCGCTCGCCGGCGACGCCGTCGAGGCTTCGAAGCCCAAGTCGAAGAAGCGGCCGCCGCCGGAGGCGCCGGAGTCCGACGACGGCGCGGCGGAGGACGATGCGTCCGAGGCGGAGGCGCCGGCGCGGTCCCGCCCGCGCGTCGAGTCGGACGACGAGGACGACGGCGCCGCCGCCGCGGAGCCGACGCGCGCGCTCGCGGACCTGCTCGAGGAGCCGGGCAACGCGACGGCGTACCTCGCGATGAACAAGGTCGTCAACGCCTGGAACCTGCTCGACTTCACCGACGAGATGACGGGCGACGGGACGACCATGAAGCCCGTCTACCGCGACGACGCGGAGCGCTTTCGCATGCTCGCGCTCATGAGGGACGCGATCGGCGGCGCGGCCTTCGACAACGTCCACGGCTCCGACATGGAGGCGCTCCTCGAGGCCTTCGCGGAGCTGTCCCCGGACCGCCAGCGCCTCGTCCGCGCGCGCGCGAAGCGGTGCGTGAAGAAGGGCGCCGCGCTCGGCGAGGTCGACGTCCGCGCGGTCCTCGAGGCCGGGCTCACTGTGAAGCTCTGAGGAGCGACTAAGATGCTCCTACGTCCCTGAGCCTGCTGTGTGACGAGGCTCAAGTTTCATACTTGACGTGTAAGTGCTGGGAATGTGCTGTCGCGAACGATCTGCCGCGCGCGCAATGGCTTTGCCTCGGAGCTTGCAGACGCGATTCTCGGAGTCTGTGATCACGGGGCGCTGTGTCATGAACCAGTATATGCTCAAGAATGTGCTGAGCTTCGTCGACGAGGAGACGGAGCCGCGCGCGGCTTGTGCGAGTCGATGGTTTGCACTCCAATGCTCAAAAAACGCTGAAGCGCGAATGGACATGCCTTGCGCGCGACCGCAAGGCCCGTGGACCGTAGACCTGGCAAATGGCTCAGATTATAGCGATGGTTCATCAGAACACCCGTTTCGCACGGTCCGCCGCGCCGTCTGCTGTGCAGCAAAGTGCACAGCCGACGGCCGTCGCGGAATTCTACCATGGGTGAAACTCAAGGTCCGCTGCGCACCAACGTGCAACCTACTCGCGTGTTCCACGGCCCAGTGTGGCGGACGCATATGTGCGAAACACGGCGACGGCGAGGGAGTGTGGAATGATGATTATGGCAAGTACGAATATGAAAGCTACGAGTGCGCGCATACCGGTTGTGATCACATTTTCTGTCTTCGTTGTGCCCCCCGCGAGCTTCATGCGTGCGAGTTTTGCAGTGATTGCTGGAACTTCCAAGTGAGCGAATGTGGAATTGAGCCTGAGTTCTGTTCGTCGGCCGAGCATTACCGCTACTGCGACTCCCACATTACACCCCGCTGGGCGTACAGCTACTTTGGCGAGTCTGAGGAATTTCTCATGTGCCGGGAATGCGAACGGAAGTGTGAAGAACTGGATGCGTTTGACGAAGAATCTGAGGCCTTAGAGCAGACGATGGACACCTGGTAGTTCGCAGGCCTGCCTGTGCATGTGTAAGATCATCCCCGAACGCACTCTTAAGATGCTACGAAGACGCCTCCGCGGCGACCGCGGACGGCCGCTTGCTGCCGTTGGCGACGTGGTTGTAGAGGTAGACGAGCGACGCGGGCGTGACGCCCGAGATCCGGGCCGCCTCCGCGAACGTGTGCGGCCGCGCGGCCCCGAGCTTCTCGCGCTCCTCGGCGGACAGCGCCGGCAGGTTCGCCGCCGAGTAGTCCAGGTCCGGCGGGATCTTCGTCGCGTCGTTGCGCTTGTAGGCCGCGACGTCGCGGTCCATGCGGTCGAGGTACGCGGCGTACTTGCATAAAGCCGCGACGGTGTCGCGCGCGTCCGCCTCGATGAGCAACTCCTCGCCCTGGGCCGCCGCGAGCGCGAGCACGCCCTCCAGCGTCGCGTGGGGCATGGCCAGCAGCTGCGACGCCGACTTGTGGCTCCGCTTCGAGTGGTCGTCGCGGTTCGTCTCGTCGGCCGAGAGGAACGCGGGCGCCCAGGCCTCGGGCGCGAACCGGAGCGCGTCGCAGCGCGCCTTCGCGTCGGCGACGTGGCGCGCCCGCGCCTCGCAGGCGGCCAACCTGTCGGGCTCGACGAGGCCCGGCACGCGCGCCGCGCCCAGCCGCGTCAGCCGCAGGTCCGCGTTGTCGGCCCGCAACGCCAAACGATACTCCGCGCGCGACGTGAACATGCGGTAGGGCTCCATGGTGCCCCGCGTCACGAGGTCGTCGACCAGCACGCCGATGTAGCCCTCGTCGCGGCCGACGACGAAGCGCCGCCGCGCGGACGCCGCCGCGTCGCGGTCGCCCGCGGCCAACGCCGCGTTCGCGCCCGCGACGAGCCCGAGCGCCGCGGCCTCCTCGTAGCCCGTCGTGCCGCAGATCTGGCCCGCGAGGAAGAGGCCCCGGGCTTTTTTGACGCCTAAACCGTGGTCGAGGGACCGGGGGTCGACGAAGTCGTACTCGACGTCGTACCCCGGCTGGACGATGACCGCGTTTTCGAGGCCCGCGATGCTCCGGACGATGCGCTCCTGCACGTCGAGCGGGAAGGCGCCGCTCAGGCCGTTGGGGTAGACCAGGTCCGTGTTTAAACCTTCCGGCTCGAGCCAGACGACGTGGGAGCTCCGGTCGCCGAAGCGCTCGACCTTCTTGTAGAGCGACGGGCAGTAGCGCGGCCCGGTGCCGGACACGGACGGCGGCGCGAGCGTGTGCGCCTCCGCCCGGACGATGTCGTGCGTGCGCTCGTTCGTCGCCGTCCTCGCGCAGGCCACCGTGCCCCGGGGCGAGGCCTCGGCGTTCCCGTAGGAGAACGCGAACGGCGGATCCTCGGACGGCTGCGCGACGCACTTGCTCCAGTCGATGGTCCGGCCGTCGAGCCGCGGCGGCGTGCCCGTCTTCAGGCGCCCCAGCGGCAGCCCGAGGTCCAGTTCCAGCGTCTTCGCGAGGCCCGTCGACGGCGGCTCGACGTCGCCGGACAGGTCGCCCGAGCCGCCCGTGCCGTCGTCGCGGACGAAGCGCCCCGCGGGCCGCGACTCCTGGCCGAGCCAGATCGTGCCCCGGAGGAACGTGCCCGTCGTGATGACGCAGGCCGACGTCGCCACCTCCACGGGTTCCTCGTCGATGGTCACGGCGACGGCGCGGACGCGCCGCTCGCCGCCGCGGTCCTCGAAGAGCACGTCCTCGGCCGACGCCTCCAACACGTCCAAATTCTCGTACGCGCCCGACGCGATCTCGCCGCGCATGAAGGCGCGGTAGAGGTCCCGGTCCGCCTGGGCCCGCGGGCCCCAGACCGCCGGGCCCTTGCGCCGGTTCAGCATGCGGAAGTGGATGCCCGCCGCGTCGATCGCGCGGCCCATGACGCCGCCGAGCGCGTCGACCTCGCGCACGAGGTGGCCCTTGCCGATGCCGCCGATGCTCGGGTTGCAGCTCATCTCGCCCACGGTGTCCACGCGCTGCGTGACGAGCGCCGTCCGCGCGCCGCCCCGCGCCGCGGCGGCGGCGGCCTCGCAGCCCGCGTGGCCGCCGCCGATGACCACGACGTCGTAGTCGTAGCTGCGCGCCGCGGCGAAGCAGCGGGCGAGGGGCCGCGTCCGGCGCGCCGGCGCGGTGAAGGCGAAAACGCCGCGGACGAACAACATCGATGCGAAGAAGGCGCTCAATCGACTCATTGTTCAGCCATGTCGCCGAGACAACTTCAAGCGCCACTGCAAGTTGAACCTCAATAAGGAGTTTCAGGGCGCCTTGGGCAGCTCCGCGCCGTCTTCTGCGGAGGCGTGGGACGCCGCGCGGCTCGCGAGGTGGCGCCGGGGTCGGTCGCGCGCGCGCCATGTCGTCGACGCTGGCGCCGACGCTCCGGCCCGTCGACGCGGCGCATCCCTCCATCGAGTTCTTCTTCTACGCCTGGCCACTTCTCGCCGGCGCCGCCCTGCTCTGCCTCTGCCTCGACTTCGCCTGCCGGCGGCGCCCCTGCCGAACGAAGGAGCCGCCCGCGGAGGAGCCACCGGAGATGGTGAGCTACCTGGACAGCGACGAGCCGCCGCCGCCGCTGCCGCCCGTCGACGACGACGAGGCGCCGACCGGCAAGGTCTGGGTCTTCGACGGCGGCGGCGCGTCGTTCCTCGACCAGATGGCGCCGTCGCAGGAGGAGACCAAGGAGGACCCGGCGTCCACGGCCCTCGTCCCCCGCCCGCCGCCGGTCGTCGCGCGCCGGACGCCGCTCGCCGTGCCGCGCGCGCCGACAATGGCGGCGCTCCTCGCGGACGCGTTCCGCGAACACGCGGCGGACGAGCACGGCTCGCGCCTCGCGCTCCACGACAGACCACGGGGCGGCGAGGTCGCCCTCGTGCCCCGCGGCGTGGAGCTCGACGACGGGCCGCCGCCGCCCGACGAAGAGGGCGACGCGGAGCGTAACGGCTAGGGGTGTTACGACCTAGAAGGGCACGGGGATGTCGTGGTCGGCGAAGTACTTCCGCGGGTCGAAGTCGCCGGGCCCGTCGTCGTCGTCGCCGCCCGCGCGCTCCGGCAGCGGCGGGAAGCGCGGGCAGACGGGCGCCATCTCGAGGAGCGTCGTCGGCCGGTCGAGGAAGTCGTCGGGCGGCGCGTCGTCGTCCTCGGCCCAGTTCGGCGCGTCGGCGTCGAGCGCCGCGCCCGCGTCGACGTCGTCGTCGCCGCCGGTGAGGACGTCGAGGTAGAGCTTGCTCCGCCCGTAGAAGCGCGTCGCGTCGTGCTTGACGAAGGGCGCGTAGAGCTCGAGGTCGATGGGGTCGACGCGGCCCGCCGCGGCCTCGAAGGCCGCGCGGCCCGCGGCGGCCGCGGCGGCCGCCGCGTCGCCGTCGAGCGTCCGCGCGACGCGGTGCGCGAGCGCGTAGCGCAGAAGGTAGGCGTCCACGAGGAGCGCCACGGGCGCCAAGTCCGACGTCGCGTCCGCGAGCGCCGCCTCGTACGCGGACGCGAGCGCGGGCCCCGCGACGGCCCAGAGCGCGGCCCGCGCGGCGCGCAGCGCCAGGGGCGCGCCGTCCCGCGTCGCCAGCGCGTCGCCGGGGCATAGCGTGCGGGTGACGGCGCCCCAGAGCGCGAAGAGCGCGACCTGGAGCGCCGTCGACGGCTCGCAGGGCAGGCGCACGGTCTCGAAGGCCTGGCCGCCGTCGTCGGCCTCGACGTCTAATTTCCGCTCGCGCCAGCGGTGGCCGGCCTTGAGGCGCTCGAGGCGCGCCTCGCGCAACGAGCGCTGCGTCGCCACGGGCAGCGGCCGGCCGTCGCTGCCCCGGGAAGGGTCCAAATTCCCGTCCTTCGCGTCGCCCCACGCGTGCGCGAAGGAGCCCAGGTCCTCGGCGAAGGCGTCCACGATCGGGCTCGCGACGCCAAAGGCCCAGCCCTCCAACGCGACGCGCCGCGCGGACGCCAGCGCGCCGTCCAGCGCGCGCGGCGCGACCCGGAGCCGGCTCGCGGAGTCCAGCGCGCGCGCGGAGAGCAGCGCGAGCTCGTCCAGCGACAGGTCCGGGCAGGCGACCTCCAGATCGTTCCGCAACGGCCCGCGGCCGCCGGCCCGCGCCGCGACGGCGCCGACCATGATCGCGCCCGCGGCCTCGGCGCACTCGCGCCAGTCCGCGACGCCGTCGCCGTCCGTGTCGGAGATCTCGAAGGCCGCGGCCAGCTGGTCGAAGTCGACGACGCGGTCCGACGTGCCCGGCGGCTCCGGCGACCCGTCGCCGCCGCAGAGCGTCGCCGCCGCGAGCGGGCCCACGGACGCGTACTGGAGCGCCCAGCACGCGCGCGCGACGACCAGAAGTAAAGCGCCGTCGGCGCGCGCGGCCCGCACCGCGCGGACGTGGTCGTCGCCGGTCCGGCCCGTCTTCCGCAGGTTCCCCGCGCGGCGGAAGCGGCGGCCGGGGCAGTCCTTGAGGATCGAGCTCGGGTCCCAGTCCTGGTTCAGCGGATCCTCGAGCCTGTGCTTGAGGTCGCGGCGCTCGTAGGCGACGCGGTCCCTCAGCCGGGCACTTCCGGCCGCGGCCGCGCGCCGGAGCGCGCCGCAGAGCAGGCCCAACGTCTCGGCGAAGCGCGGCGCCAGCGCGGCGAGCACCGCCGCGGCGCCCGCGTCGTCGTAGGCGCCGAGCAGCGCCGCGTCGCGCGCCAAATCCTTGAACTTCGCGTCGACGAACGCCGCGAGCCGCGACCCCAGGAAGCTCAGCTCCGCCGCCGTCGCGTCGTGGACGTGGCCCCCGCCCTGGAACTGCCACGCGGCGACGTCGAGCGCGTCGGTCTCCTCGTTCGGCGCCATTCCGGCGAGCCGCGCCTCGAGCGCCGTCGGCGCGCCGTCGAGCGCGGCCCGCGCCGCCTCGAGGAGCCGCGCCGCGTCGGCGTTGACGGCGTCGAGGCCCCGGCAGAGCCGCGCGTCCACCAAACGCGCGAACGTCGACGCGAGCGCGGACCGCCACGGCGAGCACAGGCGGTCGACGTCGCGCGCGAGGTCGTCGCCCGCAACCGCCGCGTCCGCGTCGTCCGCGACGAGCACGCGCCGCACGTCGGCGACGTGGTCGAGCTCGTCGTCGGGGAGGAAGACGTCCGCGGCGACGCGGAGCACGCGCCGCGTGCCCGCGTCTGAGACATGTAACGGGTTCGCGTCGGCGACGTCGCCGAAGAGGCGGCCGCAGGCGCCGCGCCACGACGGCGACCGGCCGTCGCAGGACGCGCGCAGGGCGTCCCGCAGCGCCGCGAGCTGGGCCGCCCCCGCGCCGCCGCGGCCCTCGGCCACGAGCAAATTCGCGCCGAGGTCGCGCGTCGCCTTCAACGCCTTTTTCGTCCAGTCGCGCGACGCCTCGCGCAGGAGCCCCCGGTCCGCGACGAGGCCGTCGGCCAACGCGGCGAAGGCCTCGGCGTCCATGGCCTCGGCGGCCACGCGCAGCAGCTGGCCGTCGCCGAAGATGCGGTCGGCGTCGACGACGGTCCGCCGCAGCGCGACGGCCGCGCGCCGCAGCGCGACCTCGACCTCTACGACGCGCTCCGCCCTCACTTCAGACTCGATCCACGCGGACCGGCTCGCCCAGAACGCCTCGAGCAGCGCGGGCGCGCCGCGATAGCCGCCGTGGATCGCGAGCGCGGCGAGCGCGTCCGCGTAGCGCCGCGTCGCGGCGACGTCGTCGTCCTCGCAGCCGTCGGCCGGGGGGCGCTTCAGGAAGGCCTCGGCGCCGGCGACGACGCGCGCGCGGAGGTGGGACGCGTAGGGCGCGAGCGACGCGCGCGCGGCGCCGCCGCCGAGGCCGCCGCACCACGCCCTACACCGCGCGAGCAGGCCGCCCGCGGCGCCGAGGTCGTCGCCGTCGAGCGCGCGCCAGACGAGGGGCGCCGTCGCGACGACGCGCGCCGCGAGGTCGTCGTTGGTGTCGGCGGGCTCCCGCGGCGCCTCCGGCGCGGCGGCCGCCGCGGCGCCCGGCGCCTCGACGGCGGACGCGCGGTCCTCGACGCGGGCGACGAAGCCCTGCGCGCGCGATGCCGACGACGCGAGCTCGCGCACGGCGTCGGCGGACTCGACGAGCTGGTGGTACCGCTCGCCGAGCCACCGGTGGACCTCCTTCCCCTTGTCCTGGGCGCCGGACCGCGCGCGCTCGCGCGCCGCGCGCGCCTCGGCGACGGAGAGCAGCGGCCCGTTAGGTGCGACCATGGTGGTGCGAGCTGTGTTTTGTGGGCTGCGGCCGATCTAGTTGCGCGCTCGAGGCGCGCGACGACGACCTCGGCGGCGCCGCGATGCTCGATGTCCACGCCTCGACACTGTGGACGCGGGCCGGGCCGGCGCCGGCGAGTGCCTGCGCCGGCGCCCTCGCCGCCGACTCCGGCGGACGCCTGCCGGGCGCCGCAGGCACGCGCGCGCGTGAACGCCGGCGTGAGGCCTCGCGCGCGCCCCCGACGCCGCGCCGACGAGCTATCCATGCGCGTTGCGCGTCGCGACGATGTCCCGGGCGATGTGGGCGGCCCAGGCCTCGTAGCCCGACTCGTTCGGGTGGACGCGGTCCGCGGCGGTGAGGTCGCCGCGCGCGGACTCGAAGACGGAGACGAAGTCGACGTTCGCGCCGCCGGCGAGGAGCGCCTTCTGGCGGTCCCACTGGCTCGCGACGAAGACGACGTAGCTCCGGAGCGGCTCTGGGAACGACGCGATGGCGACGGGTAGCGCGGGCAGGACGATGCGGCAGTCGTCGCCCACGGCCGCGCGCACGTCGCCCACGAGCAGCTCGAGCTCCGCGGCGAAGGCCCAGGGCGTGCGCAGCTCGCCGCGCGCGATGTGCTTGAAGTCGTTGAGGCCGCACATGACCACCGCGACGTCGTAGCCGTCGCCCGCGATCGCGGGCACGAGGCGCCGCCGCATGCCCGCGACGTCGCAGCCCGTCTCGCCCAGCGCGCGCCAGGCGACCTCGACGCCCAGGCCGTCGGCGAGCTCGCGGCAGACGCGCCGCGGCAGCGGCGGGCCGTCGTCGCCCGCGCGGTTCGCCGCGCCGCCGACGCCCGTGACGAGCGAGTCGCCGATGAAGAGCACGCGGAACCGCGGCGCCGGCTTCGCTACGCGCGCGGCGTCCGCCGCGCCCGGCGGCGCGGCGGCGGCGCCGCGCCACCAGCGCCGCGCCGCGCGGGCGACGGCGCCGTCCTCGGCCGCGAGCCGCCGCGCGAGCGCGTCGCGCGTCGCCCGCAGCGCCTCCGCGCGCTCGAGGAGCCGGCGCTCCAGCGCCGCCTTCTTCTCGCGCGCGAGCGTCGGCAGCTCCGTGCCGACGCGCGCCGCCACGAGCTCCGGCAGCGGCTCGTAGGTGCGGTCGTGGTGCACGGCCTGGAACAGGGCCACGGCCGTCGTGGCGCCGAAGACGCCCGTCGTCCGCCAGATGCCCTTCTCGGCGATGCGACCCGCGGCGGCGCGGAAGCGGGAGGCCATCGAGGTATTCAGATGCCGGCAACGAGCCCGAACCTACCTGCGCGTCATCGGCTGTTTGTGAATCTCCGCAAGCGGTGCGACACTGTGCAACTCCGGCTCAGTGACCTCGACTTGAGGCTCAATGTTTTTGCCGGCTGCCCAATCTCGGCTGCCATGGGATCGTTCTGCTGCAGCATGGGGCTGCCGGTGGCTGTAGCCCTCGCGGGATCTGCCCGCGCCCTGCTGAGTCCGGGCCCCACGCACGGCTGCTGCCGGTACCCGCTGCGGGTGGGCCGCCTGTCCGACGACGCGCCGCCGTGGGTGTACGTCGGTGAGGAGGGCGTCTGTTGCGCCACGGGCTTCATCCCGGAAGCGGAGACCATGATCTTGAACGAGATGCAGGTGAGCGAGACGTTCGTGTCCGTCGGATCGACGGCGAAATACCAGCAGAAGATGTACGATGCGCTCGACGACGGCAGCATCGACGTCATGTTCCAGGGGCCGATCTACGAGCCGTGGAAGGGCTACAAGCTCTCCATGCCCTTCTACGACGCCAACAACGGGGTCGTCGTGCGCAAGACGCAGAAGGCGCGCGGCCCCTGGGGCGTGCTGCAGCCCTTCGAGGCCGAGCTCTGGTTCGCGCTCATCCTCGCCGTCGTCGCCGGCGGCGTCGTCGTCGCCGGGCTCGAGCCGCCGAAGGCGCTGCGGGGCCAGTCGCGCGGCGGCTGCGCGGACACGTTGTTGCAGGGGCAGTACCGCGGGTGGGTCATCCTCCTCGGCGGCGACGCGCGCGACTGGCGCACGTGGCCCCAGCGTCTCTTCCGCGTCGGCTTCCTGTTGCTCGCGCTCGTCGTCGGCGCGACGTACGCCGCGAATTTCGCCGCGTTCCTGTCCAACGCCGAGTACGAGTACTCGGGCCCCGCGGACGTGGACGAGATGCAGCAGTACTCCCACTGCATCCTCTACGAGGCGTGGCTCGACGACTACTACGAGGACTACGTCGACGCGGCCGAGGCGCGGTACCCGGAGCGGGACCCGGGCTTCGACTCGGTCTCGGCGACCTACGACGTGCGCCTCACCTGGTGCCTGGACAAGCTCCACGACGAGTCCGTCGACGCGCTGCTCGTCTCCAAGGCGAGCGCGTGGCGCCTCGTCTTGGACGACTGCGACAACTTGGCCATGGTGCCGACCATCGACATGCCGGGGCAGGCGCTCCTCGGCGTCTTCCCCAAGGACGCGGACGACGACCTCGTCCACAACGTGACCGTCACGATCCGCCACATGCTGCAGTCGCCCGCGTACGTCGACATGCGCGACCGCGTCTTCCAGTACGGCAAGACCTGCCCCGCGGGATCGGACCTCGCGCGCATCTCCCTCGGGTCCATGATCTCGCTCTTCGTCGTCTACGCGGCGGCCGGGGCGCTCGCGCTGCTCTTCCACGCGGCGACCAATCGCTCCGAATGCGAGCGCGCGGTGTCCCGCCGGATGGCGCCGTCGACGCCCGACGTCGACGAGATCTACGAGGCCTCGCCCGTGGAGGCCGTCGTCGACGTGGCGGACGCGGACGTCGCCGATGAGGCGCCGGCCGCCGACGTCTCCGGCGAAAAGAAGCCGCGGAAGCGGAAATATCGGAAGCGGCGGGCGCCGCCGCCGGCGTCCGACGACGCGTTCTCGTCGGCGCCGCTCTCCGACGACGAGCTCGCGGCCGAGCCCCGAAACACCGACGAGGATAGCAGCTGCGCGTGCGGCGTGGGCTACTAAAGCAGTCGGGCGACACACACCGCGCTTACGGTCAGTATCCCCCGTTGGACGTCGGGCGCCGCGAGCACTATACTGCTGGGGGAGCGCAACACACACCGCGCTTACGAGGTCAATACCCCTCGTTGGACGTCGTCACCTCGGCGTCCGGGTAGGCCTCCGCGACGACGGCCGCGGACAGGTCGTGGCGGAACTCGCCCTGCCAGGGAAAACCGATGCTATGCCCGTAGATGGCGATCTTCTTGTTCGCGAGGTCCGCCTGGATGCGGCCGCCGCCGAGCACCTCGTGCGCGACGCCCATCGCCGTGAGCTCGTCGACGAGCGGGCGCGCCGCGTCCTTGTGGTACGCCGCGCGCGTGTTGCCGCGCACGAAGTAGCGGTCGCCGGCCTGGACCAGCACGTACTTCTGGATGCCCTGGCCGATGGCGCAGGACGCGACGGTCGGCGCGACGGTCGACGCGCCCGCGGTCTTGCGCATGGCGGCCGCCTCGGCGCGCTCCTCGGGCGTCGTCGTGAAGTCGCCCATGGCGCGCGAGATCACGGTGAACTTGGCCGTGCGCGAGATTACCAAGGCGCGTGCCGAGGTTGCCAGCAGGGCCAGGGTCGCCACGCGCATGCACCGACTCGATGCTCTGCCGCAGCTGCGAGGGCGTCGGCGCGGCCTGCTCCTTGCCGGGAAACTTGGACTTGGCGAGCTGTGGCATCTGTGGCAGCTCTTGTGGTAATGGACTCCAGGTCCATCTCTGGCTTGGCCGCAAGCGCGATGAAATAATCGTGTAGCGCACGGTAGCGCACGAATATGACCTCCGAGCTCGAGCGCGCGGCGCAGCGCTGCGGCGTCTGCGGCGCCGAGCCGTACCTGGACGCGGCGAAGAACGAGATGCTCTGCGCCGCCTGCGAGTGCCGCGGCGCGACGGTCGGCGGCCTCGGCTTCCTCGCGCTCGACGACCGGGGCTCGCGCGTCAAGCTCTACGGCGCGGACTGGTCGGAAGACGCGGCGGCGCTCGGCGCGGACCTCGAGAGGGGCGTCGCGTGGAGCGTGCTCGAGGACGTCGTCGACGGCGCGACGCTCGCGCAGCCGCGCGAGGTCGGCTACGAGGCGTCGGGCGCCGCGCTCGGCGTGACCTACGACTACGAGCACCTGAAGGCGCCGCTCGTGCCGCGGCCCTTCTCGCGCGGCGTCGAGCGGCTCCGCGCGGCCGTCGAGGTCGCCGTCTTCGGCGCCGACGACGGCGTCTTCAACGCGGCCTTCTGCAACCGCTACGCCGACGGCGGCAGCCACGTGTCCTGGCACAGCGACGAGGACGCGCCGCTCTACGGCGACGCGCCCGTCATCGCGTCCGTGAGCTTCGGCGCCGCGCGGCCCTTCGTGCTGCGCGCGCGCGACGACGCGGCGCGCATGGTCCGCTACGACCTCGGCGGCGGCGCGCTCCTCGTCATGGCCGGCGCGACGCAGACGCACTGGGAGCACGCCGTGCTCAAGGAGGGCGGCGCCCGGGGGAAACGCGTCAACGTGACCTTCCGCCGCGTGCTCGTCGATCCGGAGGAGCCGGCGGCGGATATGACCGCGTCGCTGCTTACTGGCCCTGCGGGGACCAAGTGGCCGCTCCTGCGCGACGCGGCGCTCACCGCGACGCTCCTCGCGGCGCTTCCTTTGGATCTGTTGACGCTCGGCGGACTCCGGCGGCGGCTCGAGAGCGCGGGCTACTGGCCCGGCGCGCCGACGTACGCCGTCGAGGAATCGGACGACGGGTCCGCGGTTCTGCGGTCGACGGGCGGCCGGGTCCTAGGCGACGACGCCTGGCGCGCCGGCTCCGTGGTCTGCTGCGCGCTCCGCTGCGCCGCGCCGGCGCGGACCGTGCTCTTCTGCTCCGGCAACGCGGGCGACATCGGCGGCGCCGTCGCCTTCGGACGGACGCTCTTCCGGGCCCTCCCGCGCACCGACGTCGTCTGCTTCGACTACTCGGGCTTCGGCCGCTCGCCGGGCGCGCCGAGCGAGGCGCAGACCTACCGCGACGTCGCCGCGGTCGTCGACTCGCTCCGGACCCGCTCGTCGGCGCCGCTCGTGCTCTTCGGCCACAGCATGGGCGCGTCCGTCGCGCTCCACCACGCGGTCCACGCGAGCGGCGGCGTCGCCGCGCTCGTCCTCGACTCGCCGCCCGCGTCCATCCTGCACGCGGTCTCGTCGGGCACGCTCGCGTCGCCCGCGGTCGTCTTCTCGCCGCTGGACCCGTACCCGAACGCGAGCTCGATCGCGCGCCTCGGCGCGCCCGTGTTCTTCGTCGCCGGCGACGCGGACCCCATCTGCCCGCCGGCGAACGCGCTGCGGTTGCACGCCGCCGCGCCGCGGGCCGCGTCGCGCCTCGAGCCGCCCTTCGTCGTGCGCGGCGGCTCGCACGGCGACGCGTTCCGCGTCGCGCCGCGCGAGATGGCGACGCGCCTGCGCCGGTTTCTCGCGCTCGCGCTGTCGCCGTGCTAGAATTTTGTCGCTTTTTTTATCCTCCCCTAGGCCGTCCTTTATCTGTTGGTTTTTTTATCCGCGCCGTCCTTTGCCTGCCTGCACGTGAAGGGCAAGCGCATCTCAAGCGCCCAGCGCCCGGCAATGGTGTGCGGCGAAGAAGCCTAGCCTTTGTGAAGCCTAGCCGCGTGAAGCCTAGATGAATACGGCGCCGAGCGATGCGCCCATGCCGCCAAACATGAGCGCCGCGAGCGGGATGAGCGGCGCGCCGCGGGACGCGTCGCGGTCGTCGAGCGCGGCGCTCCGGCACAGGTTCCTGCCGCGGCGCGTTGTCTGCATGACGGCCCTGCGCATGTTCCTGGTGGCCATGAGCCTCCTCGCCTACAAGACGCTCCTCCCTTTGCGGGTCCTCGCGCTCGTCGGCGGCGACGCGAAGGCCGCGAGCGCGTGGCTCGAGCGCGTCGTGGCCGCGGCGTCCGCGTGCACGCTCGCGACGACGTGCTGGATCTGCGCCGCGTCGGACGAGCGCGGCCGGCGCCGGGGCCTCGTGATCGTGTGCCTCGGCGCCGTCGCCGACGGCGTCGGCTGCGCGCTCGCGCCGACGGTCCGGTGGCTTCGGGTGGTCCACTCGGCGGCGTACGCGTTCGGGAGCGCGTGGGCGCTTTTAGCGCTCTCGTTCGCGTCCGTCGGCGACGTGCTCCGCGGCTCCGGCGGGTCGCCGCGCGAGGTCGCCGTGGATTTCGCGTTCGTGGAATCGTCGATCTACGCGGCGGTCCTGATCGCGCCGGCGCTGAGCGGCCTGGCGGCGCAGCGCCTGGGCATCCCCGCGGCGTTTCTTCTCGCCGCGGGCTTCGCGGTCGTCGCGCTCGTCGTCTGCGCGTCCATGGAGGAGACGCTGGCGCCGAAGCCGCCGCCGGCGCCCTGGTCCGCGGCGCTCGTCCTGCGGCGGTCGCCGCTCGGCGCCGTCCTCCACTTCGCGGAGACGCGCGACCGCCGCGTCGTCGGCCTCGCGTGCTTCCTCCACTGGCTGGCGATGCGGGGCTTCGAGTTCCTGCTGCCGCTCGTGCTCAAGGGGCTGTTCCACTTCTCCTCCGCGCAACAAGGTTTCGTCGGCTCCTTCGCGGGCGCGGGCGCCGTCGCGAGCTCCGTGGTCCTCGTCCGGGCCATCACGGGCGACGACGTCTCCCTCTTCAAGAAGTTCGCGGCCATCGGCGCGGCGGGCCTGCTCCTCGTCGCCGCGTCGGGGGCCCTCGCGCCCCGGCGCGTCGTCGTCTTCGTCGCCGGCGCGGCGCTCTACGCCATGGAGGCGCCGGCGAACCCGGCGCTGCGGGCGATGGTCGTCGACCTCCGCGGCGACGACGACGGGCTCGGCTTCGTCCTGGGGGCCGCCGCGGTCCTCGAGACGGCCAGCCAGTTCGTCGCCGCCGTCGTCTTCGGCAAGGTCTACGCGGCGATGCCGGGCACGACGGGCTTCGCCTGCGCGGCCGCCGCCATGGCCGCGTCCGTCGTCCTCGTCGCCTTGGCCTTTTGGAACCGGCCGAAGCCGCCGCCGGCGGCGGACTACCGCCTCCTCGAGGACCCCATCAACGGCGAAGTCGTCATTTAAGTTGTATGGGAGGACCCCACGAACGGCGACGTCGTCATTGTAGTTTTCTTATGGTCGCTTCTTCCGGCGCGGCGGTAGCGGTTCCCAGGAGGACGCGACCTTCGCGGTGTCGCGGAAGCGGGCGAGCCAGTCCGCCGAACCCGACGCCGACGGCGGATCGTTCGGCGGCGCCGCGGCCTCCGCCGGCGCGTCGACGCGTCGCGGTGGCCTCGCCGGAGCCGCCGCGGCGCGCCGCTGCTCCACCTTGGCCTCGAAGGCGAGCCGCTGCTCCTTCTTCGACGGGAGATCTTGCGCGCCGCGGCTCCGCTTGATGCCCGAGAGGCTAACGAGCCGGCCCGACTGCTGTGCCGGCTTCGTCCGCGCCGGCGGCGGCGGCGCTGGCCGCGGCTGCGGCTGTGGCGGCTCGACGGCGCGCTGCCGCTTTCGAGGAGGCGCTGCCGACTCGTATTGCGCGAGCGCCGCGGCCTGCGACGCCGTCAGCGATCCGCCGTCGCGTCGCTTGAGCAAGAAGCGGTACGCGTGCTCTTCCACGGGCGAGAGGCTGCGTTTCGCCATCGTGCGCTGCTGCCCCGGCAAGCAAGATGCAGGATGGGTGAAACTCCGACCTTCTCAGAAACAGCCGAGCTATCGAGCCGAGCTGCTCGTGTGCTGGTGCCAGCAGCATGCGCGCCGTCGCGATCATCGCATTGCTCGCGCCCGCGGCAGCGCTGCAGGTACGTTCGCGACCACCGGCCCTCCGGCGCGGCGCCGTCGCGCTCGCCGCCGGCGCGGACGACGACGCCACCCTGAGCCCCAAGAGCCCGATGGCGGGCATGGTGCTCCTGGGCGGCACGGAGCCCGCGTTCTGGTCGGACCTCAACGAGGAGACCCGCGAGGGCACGTTCGTCTGCGCGAAGGACGGCTGCAACGCGCCGCTCTTCCCGAGCGAGACGAAGTACGACTCCGGCACGGGCTGGCCGAGCTTCTGGGCCGCGGGCAAGGACGCGATCACCGTCGACGACGGCGGCTTCCTCTCGGCCATGTTCGGCCGCGAGGTCAAGTGCGCGAGCTGCGCCGGCCACCTCGGCCACCGCTTCGACGACGGCCCGATCAACACGACGGGCAAGCGGTTCTGCATCAACGGCGCCGCGCTCCGCTTCCGCGAGGGCCTCGGGGATCGCGCGCTGCCCTGCGAGGACGCCGCGCCGAGTAGTTAAAAGCGCCACGCCGTGTCATGCTCGTCGCCGCGCCTCTACGCCGCGCCGAGTAGTGAGAACCGCTTCTAAACGCCCGCGTCGCCCGAGCAGAATCTTCCGACGCGGCGACGGAGGTCCGCGGGTCGGACGGACGTCGCGAGGGTTCCGAGGGCCGCGGAGACGGGGACATCGCGTAGACGAGGGCCGCGCATATTGCGACGGCCGCGCCGCCGACCTTCGCGCCCGTCGACAGGCCGCCCTTCTTGCTCGAGCTCAACGCCTTCGCCCTCTTCTCCTTCTTCGTCGGCATGGCAGTTGTCGTCGGCGGTGGCTCGATGCGGCGCTTGCGCGTCGGGCGTCGATGGGAGGCGGGCCAGACGCGTCGAGCGGCGCGACGAGTCGCCAAGCAGTGCCACCTATAGCTAAACGTCCACAACTCGGCACAGTGCAGTTCATCAAAAGCTCAGTGTGTTCCAAGCGAGTTCGTCGCATCCAGAGAGAGGCTGCCCAAATGCATTCCCGAAGCACACGATGCCGGCTACCGTGGACGCGAAGATGAGCGTCTCCAAGTCGAAAACGACCAAGAGGGCCGTCGTCAACAGCGACACGGGCCCGACGCCTCCGGGCTACAATAAGAACCAGCGTGTGAAGGCGCGGCTCGCGCTCGCGGCGTCGAGCTGCGCGCTGCTGCTCAGCTGGCCCACGTTTGCCCTGTTTTGCGGCATCGCGGCGGCCTGGCTGCTCCACCAGGGCACCGCCTTCTCCGTCAAAAACTTCAAGTGGCGCGCGCTGTCGTGGCTTACGGTGCCCGCGTGCCTCGCCGCGCTCGCCGCGCGGAACGCGGCGCTCCAGATCGACCAGGACAAAGCCTACACGGTCTACTTGCTGGTGAGCCTCTTCGGCCGCGGCGTCGAGTTCACGACGGGCGCCTTCGTCGCCGTCGTCATCGCGTTCGCGTGGACCTCGCCCGAGCAGACCAAGGCCGAGTAGGACGGCCTGGCTTGGCGTAAATCCACCCTACAATCCACCCGGGCAAATGACATCGCAGGACGTGCGACGGGGAGGGCCGGGGCCCGCTTGAGGAATAACTTCAACACACATTGCAAGAAGCCCTTCAACTTCCCGTGATAGCTAAAAAACAGCCTCGTTTGGAGGCTGCCCGTCCCGTCATGCGGGGGGCGGCCCTCCTGCTGGTCGCGGCGGCGGTCGCCGCCGTCGAGGAGCCGTCCCGCGGCCTGCAGGCCTTGGACGGTTCCGAGAAGACGAGCGACTACGGGAGCCGCCAGGAGCGCATCCGGCATACCGTCGACGAGCTTACGGATCTGCTGGACACGCCCTGGACGCCCATCAGCATGGTCACGGAGGCGTTCAAGACGGGCCTCATCCTCGACATCGAGAACGACGTCGAGCTCGCGTCGCTGCTGCTCTTCACGGTCATCCGCGCGCTCCGCGCGAAGGCCTTCGACATGATCTACGTCGGCACGGGCAGTGACGGCGCGTTCATCGGCTACTACAACGAGGGCGCCTACGCCGGGTCCGACGGCTTCGTCTACACGCTGCTGAACGGCTGGGACTGCCCCTGGAACTACACGAAGGCCTGCGGCGCGGCGGACGAGCCCTGCCGCGCCGGCTACGTCGGCGCGAACCCGGCGTGCCGCGTGTTCTTCGACGTCGACGACGCCAACGGCGCGCCGACCTGCACCGCCAACAGCACGGGCAACTGGGGGCGCATGAGCCCGCCCGCGCGGCGACTGCAGAAGGGGTCCGGCGGCAACGGCACGCGGAGCGGCAACGGCACGTTCGACGGGCCGCGGCGGAACGGCAGCTTCGCGGCGTCCCAGCCCCTCGCGCCGTCGGCGTCCGCGGCGCGCGAGGCGGAGCTCTCGGACGCCTGCGACGGCAAGTGGCTCGACCTCACGGTCTACGACCCGCGCATGCGGCCCTGGTTCAACGAGATGGTCTCCGCCCGCCGCGAGACGATGTGGAGCAGCTTCTACCCCTACGCGAGCGGGGACCGCGTCGGCATCAGCGCCATGAAGAAGTTCGAGATGGGCGGCCAGCGCGAGAGGGAGCAGGCCGTCGTCGCCATCGACTTCCAGCTCGAGACGCTCGACGCCGTCCTCGTCGGCAACTACCCGAACCGGCAGCTCGGCCTGGCCTACCTGACGGACGCGCGCGGCGGCTCCCTCGTCGCCACGTCCGTCGGCGTCCCGTCGGCGGCGACGGGCGACGAGGTCCTCGCCGTCGACTCGGAGCACGCGCTCATCGCGAAGACCGCGGAGCACCATCAAACGCATACCGGCGCCGAGACGCTCGTCGAGGTGACCCACGGCGGCGTCAAGAAGCTGGTCCTCGTCGGATCGTCGCCCCTCGCCAACGCCTACGGCCTCGAGTGGAATTTGACGGTGGTCTCGACCGTCGTCTGCGGCTCCGGCGAGGGCTTCTCGCGCGACGCGTTCGAGTGCGAGGCGTGCGTCGCGCCGACGACGTCGTCGCCCGGGAGCTACATCTGCGACGAGTGCGTCGAGGGCTACTACCTCGGCGGCGGCGCCTGCCGCCACTGCCCGGACGGCGGCGCCTGCCCCGGCGGCCGCGCGCAGCCCCACCCGAAGCGCGGCTTCTGGGGCGACCACGACCACCCGACGGAGTTCTGGGAGTGCGAGCAGGGGGCCTGCGAGGGCGGCGAGGACTTTTCGTGCAACGCGGGCTACCACGGCCGCGTCTGCAACCGCATGGACGACGACCGCTACCGCGTCGCGGAGATCCAGCTCGCGTGCCCGGACGGCGCGGCCGCGCGCTGGGCGCTCATGGGCGCGTGCTGCCTCGTCGTCTTCCTCCTCTGGTACTTCATCAACAACTTCATCTGCGAGAAGTACGACGCCATGGACATGCTGCTGCTGACGCTCCAGCAGTGCGCGATCATCTACGAGTTCGACGTGCCCTGGGCCGCGCAGCTCTCGTACCTCAAGGTCGTGCTCGAGATCGCGCTCTTCGACGTCGACCTCGTGCAGCCCAACTGCGTCTTCCGGGGCTGGGGCTTCTCCTACTCGTTCTACCTCCAGTGCGCCCTGCCGGGCGTCTTCGCCGTCGTCTTCTTCGTGCCCATCGGCGTCCGCGCGCTGCGCCGCGTCGCCGACGGCACGGTCCGGACGCGGCGCGACTTCGCGCGGCTCTTCGACCACTACGACGGCGACCTCGGCGCGGCGACGTCCCACGCCATCAAGACCTTCTTCATCACCCTCGACGTCTGCCACACGACGATCACCTTCAAGAGCCTCCAGGTCTGGCGCTGCGACGAGTACGCGAACGGCGAGTCGTTCCTCCGCGACTCGCCGGACGTGCGCTGCCACACGCGCGCGCACTTCGCCATGCGCGTGCTCGCCGCCGTGTGCATCGCGGGCGTCGTCGTCGGCTGGCCCCTCTTCTCCGGCTTCATTTTACGATATTACAAGCGCACCTACGACGGGCTCCACGTGCCGCACGTGCTCGAGCGCTACGGGTTCCTCTACGACCGCTACGCGACGCACTATTTATGGGACGCCTGGCTCTGCCTGCGGGTCGTGCTCCTCGCGCTCGTCGCCGTCTTCGTGGACTCGGGGCCGCTCCAGCTCGCCTTCGCCGTGCTGCTGCTGGCGCTGTGCATCGGCATCCAGGAGTACTTCCGGCCGTTCGTCTACGCGTTCGTCAACAACATGGAGACGGGCTTCCTGGGCCTCACGCTGTGCTTCACGGTCTTCGGGATCCTATTCTCGACGATGGGCGGCTCGCACCGCCACACGCTCGCGCCGTTCCTCGTCGCGCTCTTCGTCGTCGCGTTCGCCGTGTCCATCTACTGCAACTACGTCGAGGTCCGCGCGCGCCTCGACGGCATCGAGGCCGCGATCCTGATCCACCGCAAGCTCCTCGCCATCGAGGGCGGCTCCGAGTCGAACTTCCTCCTCCACGCCCTCGGCGACGGCGTCCAGGTCATCAAGGGCGCCGCGGGCGCGGTCAAGGGCGCGACGGGCAAGGGCGTGAGCGCGTTCAAGACCGTGGGCGAGGCGACGGCGCGGGGCGCGCGCGTGGGCCTGAGCCGCATGGGGTCCATCCAGGGGGCGCGGGGCTTCCGGACGCAGTCGCCCAAGGCCGCGCCGGGCTCCGCGCCGCCGCCGCCGCCCGCGGAGCCGCTCGAACCGGCGGCGGCGCCGCCGCCGGACGCGCCGACGCACGACGCCGCGACGGAGCGCACGTCCATCGTCGTCGCCGACCTGAGCGACGACGACGCGCCGCCGGGCGCCGTCGTCACGAAGCGCACGTCCATCGTCGTCGCCGACCTGAGCGACGACGACGCGCCGCCGGGCGCCGTCGTCACGAAGCGCACGTCCGTCGTGATCACGGATCTCGACGACGACGACGACGCGAGCGACGACGGCGGCGTCGTCACGAAGCGCCTCTCCATCGTCGTCGACGACGGCGGGCCGGGCGTCACGCGGCGCACGTCCATCGTCGTCGACGACGGCGGCGACGACGCCGTCGTTCCCGCGTGCCTGGACCTCGGCTGCCCCGGCGCCGACCCGCCGGCCGCCGTCGCCGACGACGAAAGCGACGAGGGGGAGACCTACGCGGCGGCGTCGCGCCTCGACACGCACGACACGCCCACGACCATGGAGCCCGAGCGCCGCGAGGCCGCGCCGCCGCCGCCGCCGCCGCCGCCGCCGGCCGTCCCGGACACGCCGAGCGAGCGGCACCGGCGCCACCTCCAGCGCCAGCGGCGCGCGAGCCTCGACGCGCACAGCGCCGTGCAGTCGTCGGTCCCCATCCCCGCCCACGACCGCAAGGCGGCGCTCCAGGAGGCGTCGCGGACCTTCGAGGGCACGCTCTGGCTCGAGTGGGCGCGGCACGCGTCCGACGACGACCTGGTCCGCTGCGGCCGGCTCGTCACGAAGCTGGACCCCTACGTCTGCGACGCCGCGCCGACGTCCGTCTTCGCCGGCGACGACCGGTCCAACTTCTGGCGCGACATGGTCGAGCACTACCCGCCGATCATCGACTTCTCGCGCCACCTGGACCACGCGGCGCGCCTCGAGTTCTTCTCCCACCTCGTGACCTTCCAGCGCTTCATGTCGAACTCGACGTCGAAGCGCTACGCGTCCATCGTCGACCAGGACCGGAGCTCGATCCTCTACTTCATCCTGACGGAGTCGGAGGCGAACGTCGACAGCCTCGTGGCCCTGCTCGACGGCCTCGAGCACCACCGCTCGCGCCTCGCGCGCGGCGCGCAGCCGCCGGACGAGCCGGCGAACCTGCGGGCCGCGCGGTCCATCAAGCGCCTCGCCCAGGACAAGTCCGCGCGGCGCCTCGCGGACTCGAAGCACGACCCGCGCGTCGCGCTCACGGGCCGCTTCAACGACCTCGAGGACGCGGTGCTGCGCGTCGAGAAGGTCCGCCGCGAGAGCTTCGCCTTCGACGCGGGCACGTTCCTCGCGGCGCCGGACGACGACCCACATTAGGCCTCGATAACTAGTAGCACCCGTCGCTTGTGTCGTGCGCGGTTGAAGCTGACCTTGGAGGCTTCTTGCACATGCTTCTCGGCCATTCACGATGGCAGCCTGAGTCCTTCTGGTCGCGGCGTCGCTGGCGCGGGTGGCGCGGGCGCAGTCTCGGCCATTCGCGATGGCAGCCCGAGTCCTTCTGGTCGCGGCGTCGCTGGCGCTGGTGGCGCGGGCGCAGTCTCGGCCATTCACGATGGCAGCCCGAGTCCTTCTGGTCGCGGCGCCGCTGGCGCGGGTGGCGCGGGCGCAGACGGCCGAGCAGCTCGTCGCGGAGTTCGGCGTCGCCGGCCTCCTGGAACTCGTGCCGACGGGCCCGCCGGACCGGGGCGCCCTACAGCGTGACCCACAAATCCAATTTTAAACAGCCTCCGTGGTACTAAGCTAAGTACTTTTCGACGCCCTCTTCGCTCAGGAAGTACAGCGTCGAATTTTTCTGGACGTTGTAATCGCTGAGCGTCCGGAGACTTGCCATCGGCTTTGGTAGGATTTTTCCGAGGCGCGATTGATAGAGCTCGTGATGACGCGGATACCCATAGCCTCCCAGTTGCCAAGCTTTCCGAATCTTCTGCTCCAGGACGCCGACCGCGTCCGAGAGCTCGACGTCAAGCTCGAATGTCCGGCCATTCGAGCACCGGACGAAAATCTTCATCTGACCCCGCGGCGCGGCGTCGGCCTGCTTCGTCTCCTCCTCCTCCTCCTCCTCCGCGTCGTCGGCCTCCGATTTCTTCTCCTCGGCGGAAGCGGACGCGCCGAGTCTCGGCCCGAGAGCGCCCTTGGCCATGTTCAGCAGCCGCGACGCGAAGCCCTGCTGCGGTCCCAGCGCCTCCTTGTGCTCCGCGAGAATGGCGTCGAACTCCGAGTTCGCCTCGGCCTGCGCTCCGTCGGTCCGCTTCATGATCTTCTTCTCGCGCCCGGTCAGCCGCTCGCCGCGCGCCGCCTTGGCCTTGATCGACTCGTACTCCTTGGCCTCCCGCGCGAGCTTCTCGGCGTTGACCTGACGGCCCCGCTGGCGCTCGGCGTCGCGCGCGCCGTCGCGCTTCGCCTTCCGCCGCTGCGCGTCCTCGACGACGAGCTCCTGCTGGCGCTCGCGCGCGTCGCGGAGCCCGAGGCACTTGCACAAAGCGCCGCACTTGTGCGTCGCGAAGAAGTCGACGATGCCCACGACGCCGCGGTCCGTGCGCCCGAGGCCGGACGCCTCGCGGCCGACCTTTGAGAGCACGCAGGGGTCCGTCAGTCGAAAGCGGCGGCCCGCGGCGTCGAAGACGCCCTGGAGGTCGCAGACCATGAACTCGCCATCCGACGCCTCGTAGCTATAGTGCGTGAAGGCGCCGGGAACCATGCCCGCCGTCAGCCGCTCCGGCTCGTCGTCGTCCTCCTCCTCGTCCTCGTCCTCGTCCTCCTCGACGATCGATCCGAGACCCGCGAGGCTCGCGGCCGCGCGGCGCTTCACCTCCCGCACCGGCCCGCAATCCAAATCCGAGCTCGCAAAGTCCGCCATCCGCCCAGCGTTGTTGTTGAACTTGTGGTAGTCGTCGCCGAGATCGGGCTCGCCCAAGACGCGCGTCGTCTCAGAGACCTGCCCCGCCCCCTCGTTGTAGCGGAACTCGTAGACCTGCGGTTCGACGAACTCGACGCACGGAACCAAAGGCCAGCGCGCCACCGCCGCGTTGAACGTAGAAGCGAAGTGGGCCGAGCGCGCCTGCGACCGGCAGAAGGCCACGTGGAACCCCATGTGCTCCATCGCCGCCTCGTCGGCCTTCTTCCGCTCCGCTTCGGCCTTCTGCTTAAATTGTCGCAGCGCCTTTGCCTTCGCGGCGCCCCGCAAACCCGCGATGACCGAAAAGAGGTCGTCGTCGTCGTCGTCGTCGTCGTCGTCGCTCGCCGCGCCTCCGCGCACGACAACGACGTGCTCCTCCTCGAAGAGCGACTCCTTGAAGACGAGCTTCTCGAGGATGCGCCCGTCGTCGCCGTCCCAGACCCCGACGTCGCCGCTTCCCGCCGCCGGGTCGATGACGCAGCCGCGGTACGCGAGGCGCTCGGCGCCCTTGCTAAAGTACGCGCGGCGCATCGCGAGGCACACCGGCGACGCCAGGTCCCGGCGGACGAGCGCGTCGCGGCGCAGGTCCCAGGCGAATCGTTCGCCGACCGGCGCGGACACGCGCCACCCGTCCTGCTGGTCCAGGAACTCCTCGATCTCCTCCTCCGCCGGCGCGTCGCCCGCGTCGGCCACATCGTCGCCGGCGTCGCCGGCCGCGCTCGGGCCCCGGAAGCGCAGCCGGAACGCCCGGATGGCCTGGGGGTCCCCGAGGAGCACGTCCGCGAGCTCCTCGTCGTCGAGCAGGTCGAAGCACTCCTCCGTGATCTGCTCGTCCTCGAAGCGCTTCCGCTGCTCGGGGCTCAGGAACGGGAGCGAGAGGTCGAGCCGCCCGCCCGCGCCCGGCGACGCGACGCGCCGCGCCGCGCGCGAGCGGTAGCCCGCGCCGGGCGCCTCGCGCGCGACGTCGCGGAGCGTCCGCTTCGCGCGGTCCGCGGCGGTCGACGTCTCGAGCACGGAGCTCATCATCGTCGTCGCCATGCTGCTCAGGCTCGCCGAGAGGCTCGACGAGTCGAGCGCCGACCGGTCCGCCGTCGCGCGCTTGAGGCTCGCGCTGACCTGCTCGAGCACCTCGAACTCGCCCGCGGCGCCGCCGATGCCCAGGAAGTTCGACGCGAAGCGCGGGATGCGCTCGTCGACGGCCTGCTCGAGGGCCCGCAGCTTCCACGAGAGGAGCGCGGCGATGCGGTCGGCGCCGGTGAGCGCGTCCGTGCGGAAGAGCGCGTCCGTGACCGTGTCCGACGGCTTCCCGTCGGACACGACGACGAGGCCGAGCGCGTGCGAGCCCGCCGCGTCCTCCGCCGCGCGGAAGAGCCGCTCCGCCGCGTCGATCGCGGGCAGGTAGTTGCCGTGGCCGCCCGCGACGGCGACGGCGGCGTGGCGCCGGATGAGCTTCGCGGCGACCGCGAGCGGCGCGCGCTGGAAGACGACCTCGGCGGCCGTCGACATCGTCACGAGCGACACGTCGATGCGCTTCCCCGGCGGCGCGGCCCGCTCGGTCGGCGCGATGAAGTCGGAGAGGAGCGTGTCGTAGGCCGCGGCGAGGCGCGTGACCTTGAGGCCGTACGCGTCGACGCAGTCCTTGGTCGCCATCGAGCCGCTCTGGTCGACGAGACGGCGTAATGCGCCGCCGGCGCCGGCCGCGGGGGCGCCGCGGGAGCGTAGCGTGCGACCGCGTCGGCG